TGAATCCTGGGCTGCATGTTTGTTCTGGAAATAACATGTGTGGGGTTGTTTGCCAGAATAAATTAGTCTTTGTCCTGATGCTGTGCCTATAGTGATGGCCCGACACCCATGGGGGTGGGGAAGCCGCCCAGGCAGCAGGGCCTGCCCCACCGCCCTGAGGAGGTCATCTGCAAGTGGGGAAACTGAGGACAGAGCAAGAAGTCAGCCACTGGACAGGGGAGCTCATAGCTGGCCCACTGTACCCCCCACCTCCTTTCCAACAGCCTCCCTATCCTGTTTTCTCTATCACCTCCTACTTCGGCCCAGAAAAAGGTATTGAGCCTCGCCATGACCATGGCTGGGCTCTAATTCAAATCCCACCTATTTACTGTGTACCTTGGGTTGGTTGCTTAACCTCTCTGAGTGAGTCTCACTCTCCTGCTCTGTACACTAGGGAATTGTTCATTGTGACTCTGAGAAATCCCCATAGATTGTGTCAGGCCCTCGGCTAAAACTCAACAAATGGCAGAAATCGTGTGCAGATTGTGACTTCTTGGGGCCAAATGACACCGATCTCACTCTCCAGCTGAGACCAAGGGTAGATAGAATAGGAAGAGTTGGCCAGTACCTGACTGGAGCTGGCCTCTCTCTGTGCCTCTCTTGCCCCAGCTGCTCTGGAATTGGGGAGGAGGAAACAGAGAGGCTTCTGGACACTTCCACCTGGAAGCCTGCCATGACTGACCCACCATTAGCGATGTCACCTGTGTTTCCTGGGAGCCCTTAAGGACAGGCACTGTGCCTTCTTTGCCCTTGCCCCTGGTGCCCACATGGGGTTTTGTGACTGAGTAAGCACTAAGCCACAAATCCAGAGACCTGGATTCATCCCACCTTTACCCTGAGCTGGCAGTGTGGCTTGGGTGCTCCTGGCCTCCCTGGGCCCTGGGTTTCCTATCAGTGGGGTGGAGAACTGGCCATCTGCACGGCTACCACTGTCTGGGTCCTCCAGCTCTTGCCGAGGCTGTTTAAAAATAGCTGCATCTTCCTGCCTGTCACTCTCCCTGTCAGCTGCCACCCCTAGCTCCACATCCCCACCCCTGAGCCCCTCGCCCTCGCTAATTTCTGCTTTCACTCTTTCTCAGCCTTGAACTGAGCCCTCATGAAATACCCAGTCTGCCATGAGTATGTGGTCCCACCCACCCCCATTTTTCTTTTCTTTTTCTTTTTTTCTTCTTCTTTTTTTTTATAGCAAAGGTGGCGATTTATTGAAGAACAAGTAGTCCCCCACGTGGGGAGAGGGAAAGAGTTTCACAGAATGGACTCCCAAGTAGGGAGGGGGAAAGGGTTCCCTGATGCAATTTTATCGATACTTCTGGCTGGGAAAGGGTCTCTGCTAGGTGCTGCCTGGTCTTTGAGACTTGCTTGACCCCATTTTCTGTGGGGGGGTTTGGGCAGGAACTGGAAGCTGGAAATAGGTTATCTGAGCAGACAGCTGTTGAGCATCACTAGGGTCACCATGAACAGCTGCACAGGTTGTACGCTGCACAAGGGTCCTGGGTGAGCTGGGCCTTAAATCCTCACCACGCAGGGCACCTGCCATGGCCCTGCATCCTCCCACAGTGGCTTCCCTGGACCAGGGAGGTGGGTTGTCATATGATCATTGCCAATTCCCAGCCCAAGTTTCTCAGTCCCCCAGCCTCCCCTCCTTACCAGGCCTTGACCAGCCCCCAGCAAACCCTGGCTGGTGGGTTCTGTCCCCAGGCCTGCAGAACGGCCGCCTTTATCAGGAGCCAGCCCTCTCTGGCAGTGCATGATACCCAGGAGATGGAGCCGCTGCCGTGGGGAGCGCTGTTATCTGGGAGGCTCGGCCGGCAAGCCGTGGGGCTCCGATTAGGGAGCATGGCCGTTTGCCTGTGGGTGCCTGTGTGGGCAGGTGGGGGGCAAGCCAGAGCCAAGGTTCCGGAAAGGGACCATGGATCTCCACAGGTATGCCAAGCAGAGGCAGCCTGGGAAGTCTGGGCTGCCCCACCCTTTCTGTTGCTCAGGGAGTGACCAGAGCCAGCTGGTTTCCTCCCGCTCCGTGTCTCCAAGACTTGGCCCACACATGGGAAGACTGAGTTGATTTCTGATTCCTCCTCCCACAGGAAGGTGGGCACCAGCCCCAGATGGAAGGTATTATCTCCTCCTGGGGCTCCAAAAGGACAGGAACGACTCCTACCAACCTTCTGCACACAGAAAAGAAAATATGTGAAAACAGGGAGTCATGGCCACTGTGCTCCCCTGTCTGTGGCCCCAGCAGGGAAACTAGCGTCCAGAGGAACAAGAGGCCCAAGTGCCGGCCAACCCCTCTGTGGCTCAGTACATATCTGGTTGTCAGGATAGGGGTAAGCCATTGCGTCAGGATTCTGGATGCTTCCCCCTGGATCCCACACCCCTGCGTAGGCAGTGCACAGACTCAGCCCATGGCTGGCTCCCAGCCAGCCTCAGAAGCAGCACGTGGACCTGGCTGGACAAACACATGGATGGACAAATGAGTGCCCCGTGAGCTCAGCTCTAGACCGCCTCTTCCTTCCCCCATCTCTCCCTCACGCACCCACCCACCCACGCATCCTAGGTGGGTTGCAGAAGACTCAGACCCTTGTGGGCAGGCCACGAAGTGACAGAGCCACCCACTGCCCCCCCTCGTTGCGGGGCAGATAAAGGGGCGCCGGTCTCCTCGGCCTCGCCCTGGTCTCCTGCCATCTTATCTGCCCTGGGGAAGACAAGGACCCAGTTGGAACGTTTTAGCCAGGCCTCCTGGCATATTTACACGTTATCTCTGCCATTAGGCCGGCAGTTATCTGATAATCGGGCCCATTAAGGCCACAGCCTGCCCAATCGGGGCTCCAGGAAGTGGGGCCGCCACAGCAGCGCTCACTCAGAGACCAGGCCAGGCCACGTGAGGCCTCCGTGGGCGCAGGCAGCCTGTATGGCACCTGAGGCATAAGGTGGCCTGGCCTTCTGAGCAGAGGCTCTGCAGCTGAGGGAGGCGTGGCACAGCCATCCGAGGGCATGGCCACCACTAGCCCCTTGTCCAGTGAGGACACTGAGGCGGGGAGGGGGGTAACATGCAGGTGTGATTCTCCCAGGGCACTCTGACAAATTTGTGCAGGCTTGGTGGCTTAGAAATGTATTCTCTCACAGCTCTGAAGCCAGAAGTCCCAAATCCAGGTGTTAGCAGGGCCTCCCTCCATCTAGAGCACATGTGTCAAACACAAGGCCCGCGGGCCAAATCCGTCCCGCCAGGCCTTGCAATGTGGCCCGCACCGCGCTGTCATCACTGCACTCTGCTGCGTTTCCATCACAATGACAGTTTATGACTGTTCAGTAAACCATTCGGCCCGCGATTTAGGCTGGATTTTAGATTTTGGCCCCTTCTCTGATTGAGTTCGACACCCCTAATCTAGAGGCTCCAGAGGAGGGTCCTTCCTGCTTCTCCCAGCTCCTGGGACCCAGGTGCAGCTTTCTCCTGGCTGCATCTCCATCTCTGCCTGTCTTCACACTGTCTTTTTCCTCGAGTCTCTCTTCTATGTCTTTTTTCTGTGTCTCTTATAAGAACACTAGAGGCCCGATGTATGAAATTCATGCAAGAGTAAACCTTCCTTCCCTCAGCTGCAGACACCGACTTCCCTCGCAGCCCCTGCTTTGTCTGGAAGGATGTCCTGTCTAAATAGCATATTATGCTTTGATTATTATAGATTCTTCATTGATTTAGGGCCCACTGGATGATCGATGATGGTCTCATCTTGAGATCCTAACGAATATATCTACGAAGACCCTTTTTCTATGTAGGGCACAGTCACAGGTTCTGGGGGAAATGTCTCTTGGGGCCACCATTCATTCTATTTCACAGGTCATATGGATCATGTGACAAGCCTGGGCTGAACCTGGGAGCCTGATGTAGACCCTGTACGAACCCAAATTGCCACCCCGTGGGAATGACCATTGTAGGGCCTCACAGCTGAGGTCCGTCTGTCCGGGTAAACGTAACAGAATCCTAGCTCTACAGTGCATGCCACTCTTCTAGCTGTGCTATGGAGTCGTGGCCAACACCACACAAGCTGGCAGAGCCCAGAGAGTGTGGCCCTTCTCATGGCACAGGGAACCTTAGGCCCCTGGAGCCTTACAGCCTCAGCTAGGAGACAGGCCATAGTTAGCCAAGGACCTCAGCAAGAGTCAGGGTCCAGATTTTCCAGAGAATGCGCAGAGGTCCTGAGAATGGTGAGGGAGCCGCACATTCTGGGGTCACCTCTCATCTTCAGGGAGTAAATGGAATTGATCTCAGCACCACCCAGGCGCAGATTCTGGCTTTGCTGAGACCTTGGCTCTGGGCCTCAGGTGCCCCACCAGGCACTGTGCTAAACATGCTAGGTGGATTAACTCATCTAATCCTCATACCACCCAAGGAGGTAGGAAGTATTGGGGATCCCATCTTATCGATGAGGAAACCAAGACTCAGCATATCTACAGCTGCCCTTACAAGCCAGCTGTGCAGATTTAGGGATTCTGCAATGGGATGGGGGTGGGTCTCAACATCATCATCCTCTGCTCTGTGCCCATCCATGGATGCATCCTGGGTACAAGCAGCTTCGCCAATGCCACCCTGGGCTGCAGGAGGGTCACAGATGTCCCTGATACGGCCATGTGTGTTCCTGATAACAGTGGCTTTGGTTCTGAGGCCACACATGTCCCTAACATGAGCAGCCATACACCCCAAGCAAAGCACCTGCCTGCTCAAATCCAGCTGAAGGCACCCCTCATTGTCCTCTCTGCAACCCATTGTCTCCAGAAAAGGTCTTGCCCCAGGGGCTGGCCCAGCCCCTGAAGCAGGCACCAGCCAAAATCTCTAACTCAGGCCTAGCCCACAGAGCAGTATTCCCTGTGGAGGGCTGAGGCCGCAGAGGCAGGCTGGACATGGGCAGGCAGCAAGGCTGGGCGGTCACCATGGCTGACACTCCTCACACCTCTGATGTCTCTCCCCACAGACGAGCTGGAGCAGGTCCTGCAAGATGGGCAGAGGTGTGTGCGGGCTCGACGCAGCCTTGCTGAGGGCCTGTCCTGGGGCCCATTCCACGGAAGCATCCAGAGCAGAGCCTCATCCCCCGGGCAGACAGAACCGGTAAGGAGCCCCAACCATGGCTAGCCCACCCTCTGGCCACAGGGCAGCAGCCAAGGAAGCATCCCACTAGAGCACAGGCCCCTCAGACCCCCGGAGCCAGTCTGAGAGCTCCCACCACTTCGTGTGAAATACATCAGAAGATGTGGGTGTTAGACCAGGACGGCTTCCTGGAGAGTTCAGAGACCAAGGCCACTAAGGGACTTTGGGTGAACCCAGAAGGAAGGGTTTTTAAGGGGCCCTTAATGGAGGAGTAGAAGGTGGTTAGGCAGAGAAGGAGAAGGGCTTTCAAGAGGAAGAAGCAACAAGGAGCCCAGTGGTAGGGCTGGACCCTGTGCGTGGCCATGTGGCTGGGAGGAAGTCAGGGGCATCACTCCCCTCCCCCAGGCCTTTATGGGGAGGGGCCCTCCTGATGGTAAACCAAGTGGCATTCTGGGCACTTGGGGACAACTGCAGCAGAAAGCTAGAGATTCATTCTGGTTTTGTCCCCGTGCGTCTTCTGAGGACAAGGAGAGGGCACCTGTGGTGCCTGAGTGTCACAGCACCTCATCAGCATTGCTCATCTCCCTCTTTAACGTAGAACCCCCGCCTGGGCAGCACCCTCCCCCTGGATGAGAAAAGCACCGGGGTCGCTGGGCAGGCAAAGAAGTGACCCACCAGGGCCTACCACAGGGCTGGGCTCAGTGGGCACAGAGCCAGCAGCCCTGCAGCAGGGATGGTCCCCTTGTCCTCTGGCCCCAACCAAGGAGGAAACAGCGGAAACTCCAGGATGGATTCGGCTCTGCGGAGGGAGCCTGACTGGGGCTCCTCAGTGGCATGGAGGCTGTGGTGTTTAGTGCAGCCTCTGGAGGCAATGAGCTTCCTGTCACTGGAGACATCCAAGCAGCAGTTGACTCTTCAGAGGTTAGGCTGCTGGGAGGCAGTTAGTAGTTGGAAGGAGGAGGGGGTGGGCTGGGAGCTCTGTGGCTCTGGTCTCTGAACTCTCAAAGTGTAAAGAAAACCTATGAGCAGTGACAGGACAAAGGCAGGCTGGCTGAGGGCTTGGGGGTCTCAGCATGTTCTGAGTGGAGTTTGTGCCTCTCTTCGTGCTCCCTCCTGGGGACAATCAGCCCCTCCTGGGGACAATCAGCCCCTTCCAAGGTGGACAGGTGTGTGTTCCAAACTCTCCCCACACGGTGCTGTGTGCCCATGCTTACACACAACACCTTGTTTCCTCCCTCTCCCGCCCTGTGAGGCAGGATTGCTGCCCCTGTGACAGATGAGGAAACGGGTTAAGTGGCTTTCCAAAGCCATCCAGATCAAATAGCAGAGGGAGAACTGGAGCCAGTGTCTGCCCAACCCCAGAGACCCCGGCAGGCTCCATAAGGACAGGGCTGAGTCCGGAGACGCAGCTGTCCCCTCCCACCTGCAGCTCCTCTCTGGAAGTTTTGTCCTCCTGGGGCCTAGGGCACAGGTCAGTCTGGGGAGACTTGGCACGAGGCTGGAAACGCTGTCCAGGCAGAGATAATGTCCGAGGGGAGTGAGGGAGCGAGCACCAGAGAAGCCGGCAACCTTTGAGGCTCTGGCGGAGGAGCCCAGGGAGGAAGGAGCCTCGCTTGCTCTTCCCTGCAGCTTTATCTTCCGCAGAATTCAATCCTCGATTAACCCTTATCTCCCCAGCAGGCACTATCTCTGCCTTGGCGCCGAGTGTCCAGACGCAACGTACAAGATGATTGATTTCTTAAAGATACGCGAGCCTTTCTGATACTTCATTTATTGTCTAAATATTTTTGCTAACGTTTCAGCCGGCCCCTTATCGAGCTCAGCTGATGGGTCCCAGTTCTCTCCCCCAAGCACCTCCTGCCCCAGATCATCCTATCAGCTACCAGGCGCTATTCACTCTTTCAAAAGGGGAGAGGGGGAGGGGCGCCGAAGGAGTGTGTATTGGCCCTTTCCTGCTGCGAGTTAGGGGCGGCGGCTTCTGCTGCTTCTTCTTCTTCTTCTTTTTCTTTTTTTTTTTTTTTTTTTTTTTTTGCAGTGGCTTCTTGCAGTCTGGAGAGGGGACAGGGTGGCCGGACTCTGTGGGTGGGAACTTTAGGAAGAACACAGAGGGCACAGAGCCTGGCGGAGGATTAAGAGTTGGTTCTGGCACCAACCTGTTGTGTTCATTCAGGCAGGTCCCTCCCTGATCCAGCAGCAGTTTCCACTATTGGAAAGGAGGGCTTGGAGGCCCAGCCAGCTCTAAAATTTGCAGTCAGTACAAAAGGAATGTTTAGGACGGATGGTGGATGGATAGATGGATGGATGGATAGATGAGTGGATGGTGGCTGGGTAGATAAATGTATGATAGATGGATGGGTGGGTGGATAAATGAACGAATGGGCAAATGAGCAAATGAATGAACAAACTTTCACCCTTAGCTTGGTCCACACTGGCTTGGCCCATCTGTGTCCAGGGCTCACCCACTTTAGCCATAGCACCATCACAACATCAGTGAGACCTGGGAGGGACCCCATGGCTGCCAAGCAGGGCAGCAGGTTCACTGGGGAAAGACCCTGCCTGAGAGGTTGAAGTGGGACCCCCTGGGCCCTGACCTACCGTGTGGCCCCAGGTGTCTTTGCCCTGGATCAGTGTAGAGGGTGGGCCTCCTTGGTCCTCCACCTGGAGACAGAGATGGGCCTGGGACCCTTGGCTCTGAGCAGCTCTCCATGCAGGAAGCCTCAAAGGCTGGCATTAGGGGTCACTGCCATGGAGAGCCAAACCTCACAACAGGGCAAGCCCTGGCCAAAAGCCTTGGGGGCGGGGTTGGGGGTGGGGGTGAGGCAGGGCACCTGGATACACTCCTAGTGATCCCCTCTCCCCTCTTTGATTCTCATTTACATTTGTTTGTAATAAGGAAGAATGCCCCCTGCCCATCAGGGAACTGCTTTTCCCTGACGTCTGGGACACCAAACCCGGGCGTGGGGTGCTGTGGGTTCTTTACCAGGTAGGGAGGCACTGCAGGCTGCCCTGCATCCAGCTTAGTGCACCTGCTGAGATGTCCCAGCATTCCATGTCAGAGCAGCTTCTTCCCCAGGGCGCCAGGTGCTGCTGGCTGTAGCTGTCCAGCCTCCATGTTCCCACCTGGACATGCTGTGGACACACCTTAACAGCAGGCGGTTCCTACCCGCTAAGATCTGGGCACAGCAAGGCAGCACTGGAGCTGGCCTGCCAGCTATGCCTGCCCACGTCCCTGCCCCGCCATTGCCTCTTTACTTGCCAACCCCTGGGCCTGTCCATGCCCCTGCTGCTCCCAGGAACCTGTTCCAGGCACCGCAGCTCATTGTCCTCTGTTCAGTATACCCAGCAGCCCATGGGACCTCACAGGAAATGCCCTGTGGCTCTGCTGCTCCCTTCCCCTTCCCACATTACTGAGGGGTAGCCTGGCCCAGACCTGGGTGCCAACAGGTCACTAGGACCATGATAGTCAGGTCCTGGACTAGAGCTTTACTGGTACTGTTAACTCACCTTGGCCATGAGACAGCTGCTCCGACTAACCCTATTGTACAGGTGGGGAAACTGAGTTCAAGAGGGGGCCCCAAAATGCAAGGGTTTCCTGTGGCTGCTGTAACGAAGTGCCACGGCCTGGTGTCTTAAGCAGAATTATATTCTCTCCTAGTTCTGAGGCCAGGGGATGGCAGGGCTGGTTTCTTCTGGAGTCTCTGAGGAAGAAAGCATTCCAGGCCTCTCCTCAGCTGCTGGTGATCCTTGGGGCTCCTCAGCTTAGAGATGTATCAGTCCCACCTCTGCCTCTTCTCCTTCCTTTGTCTTTGGATTTAAGATCCACATGGATAATCCAGGATGATTTCACCTGGGCTATCCTTAATTCAATCACATCTGCAAAGACCCTCTTTCCAAACAAGGTCATATCAGGCTCTGAGTGGACATATCCTTGGGGGCCACATTCAGCTGGCTCCACGGAGCCAACAGCCAGCAGAGCGAGGGCCCAGCCAGGTTGGCCCCTGGCTCCGCATGGGACAGCCCCGAGGGAATGCTCTGGTCTGGGCTTGGCTGGAACACCAGGGTAGGGAAGGGGGCATTGTGGGGTGTCCTGGAGACAAGCTCCAGACAGGAGACCTACTGCTAACCTTCCTGAGTCCCTGGCACCCTTCCCTCCATGCCTCAGTTCCCTACCTGCAGCTGTGGGAGCTGGGAAAGTGCCACAGGGTATGGGAGGTGCTATCAGCAAGAAGGGGATCAGGCCCTAACCGGTTTGGCTCAGTGGATGGAGCGTCAGCTTGCGGACTGAAGGATCCAGGACATGTACCTTGGTTGCGGGCACATCCCCAGTAGGAGGTATTCAGGAGGCAGCTGATCAAGGTTTCTCTTTCATTGATGTTTCTGACTCTCTATCCCTCTCCCTCTCTGTAAAAAAAAAAAAAATATATATATATATATATATATATATATATATATATATATATATATAGATATATTTTTTTTTTTTTTAATTTTTTTTAAAAAAGAAGGGGCTCCAGCTACAGAGTCAACCCAGACTGGCCTTCAGGGGATCCAGGAGGAGGATTCAGCTGGTGTCAAAGACCCAGGACCCCTCCACCACACCAGAAAGACTATTGTCCCATCCCCTATTGTCTGCCTCTTCCAAGTCCCATTCCCACTGATACCCACACAGTGCTCCTCCTCACCCCTCCGGGCCTCACCCACTGTCCTGGCTACAGCTGCCCATACCCAGCTCCTGCCCCCACCAGGCCTCAGCCCTTCCCAGGCTTGTCCTGTTTCTCCAGCACTTTCCCTTCCAGCCTCCACGGCTTCTTTCTTGCTGGCCTTTCCACTCCAGCATCGTGCTGAGACATCGGGGACCGCGTGTTCTGTTCATGGTGCCCATGCACCTGGCACAGAGCATGCCCTCATACATTTGGGACTAGTTGCTGAATGAGTGAATGAATGAATGAATGAATGAATGAAAAAGCTGCAGTGATTCATTGGAGACCATGCATACCTGGGTTATAATTCTATGTACAGAAGCCACCACCACCACCGCCCCTCCCATAGCCTTGGGTGCCATTAGCCTCTGTGGGCCTTAGTCTCCTCTCCTGTGAAATGGGTTCTTCACAGGATCTAGGGAGACAAAGGGGCCTGAGGACTGAAAGGCCATTGCCTCTGGCCAGGTGAGCTGGGGACGTGGGCGGGGCTTCTCAGGATGGGCTGAAGGACTGAGGACTGAGCTGGGAGGGCCCAGTCAGCCCACCCTGGCCTGCCCCAGTTCTGCCCTCTCAGGAACCTACCTGTGATAACCTGGGGGAGGGCCAGTGGCCCTGCTGACCTTCTCAGGGCTGTCTGCTCCCTGTGCCAGACCACCCGCCCCCAGGACAGGGCCCCCACCTCGCCCTCCGTGCAGCTTCATGAGAAGCACTGCAAGGTTTGGGAACAGCCTCAGATAAAGTTGTCACAGCGGATGCGGCAGAGATAGGGTTTCTGATGGTTATCGGTGGGCACAGAATCCAGACACTGACCTCTTTGTTGGGGAAACAAGGAGTGTTCTCAGATGCACCCAGAGAATTTAAAGTGGCCGCCCGTTATCCTGGGGCTGGGTGGGGCCGCCCTAGAGCCAGGAGGGAGGGACAGGGGCAGCCCTGTGGGGCTGTAGGCATGGCAGGCAGGGCTTCTCCCTGGATCCTGACAGGGCTGAGAGCGAGCTAGACCCAGACTGGGCACCCAGCCTGGGGGCACCCATGAGGAGAAGCAGCTGGCGGTACACACAACTCTGTTAGTTTTGGCTGGAGGACCAGGGGGAAGTTGTGAATAGTCCCCCCAAGCTGGCTCCCCCTGCCCAGGGCAAGGCGGGCTAAGAAGGGGGCCTGTCTCTGCCCAGAGCCTTCATCACCAGAGAAAAGGGCTTCTGGCCGAAACTGGTTTGGCTCAATGGATAGAGCGTCGGCTTGGGGACTGAGGGGTCCCAGGTTCGATCCGGTCAAGGGCATGTACCTTGGTTGCGGGCATATCCCCAGTGGGGGCGGGGGGGGGGGGGTAGTTGCAAGAGGCAGCTGATCGATGACTCTCTCATCGATGTTTCTAACTCTCTATCTCTCTCCCTTCCTCTCTGTACAAACAATAAAATACATTAAAAAAAAGAAAGAAAGAAAAGAAAAGGGCTTCTGTTCCAAGGCTGCTCCAATCGGGGAGAATATAGTAGGAAAAAGAAAAAAGAAAAGAAAGGGGCAGCCCTGTGTTATGTCGGCCCCTCCACAGGGGAAGTGGAGTGAAATTTGCCCCTGGCCCTGGGCTCAGCATGCTCCCGGAGGCAGGGAGGTGGCCCTCAGGCTGCAGCCAGCAGACGTGGGGGTCCAGCTGCCTGGCACAGGCCTAGGGGCTGACTGGCGGGTGGGGTGAGGGCAGGCTGGGCAAGGCCATGCTGCACTCTCCAAGAGCCAGGGGTCCCTGCACCCCTAGGAGCCAAGTGCAGGCATGTGCCCCCACTCAGGTGGTTGTGCGCCCCTCCCCCCCTTTTTCAGCCTTCCCTGTTTAAATAGGTGCCCAGCCCACCTTGGTGTTAATAAGGGCTGAGGGAATGTGGGGGTGAAAGTCAGTCATAAAGCTCTGGATCTCCTGACCCATCTCCTCTTGGGAAGTGGGTGTAGGGTACAGGACAGAGCCCCCTTGAGGCCCCTGCATCCCCCCACAACCCCCTCACAGTCAGGGGCTGTCACCCAGGGCAGCGACCAAGCGCAGGTGCTCAGTACCCACTGGGACACAGAGATGGGCTGCTCTGGGCAGAAGGCACAAAGCTGGCTGGGGACATGGCGCCACTGCCATCCGTCCCTCAGCTTAGAATGTACATGGAAAATTAGGGGTTCTGCAGCGTCAGCAAAGCTGAGCGCGAGGGCTTTTATCATGCTGCGAACACGCGCTCCTGAGAGTGATAAGCATTAAACCAACCGGGAGGCTGTCAGTCTCAGTGTGAGGGTTTAGAAATATTGGGACGAATAATTAGATTTCATATCGTTACCGCAGCACCCATCGGAGGATCAGGCAGATTAATTTTTTTTCACCCTCCTCTACTCATTAATATTCATTAGAGACTCAAGGAGACCCAGCCTTCCTTGCTGCTGGTTCACCCACCACTGTGCCAGCAACCCCCTTCCATTCTACTGTGCCCTAGGCCTGACCCCCTGCTGTAGCCTCAGCAGACCTCCCAGCCAGCAGGAACCCCTAGCTGGTGCCCAACTCCCACCCCTGCTCTGCAGTGTCAGAATCACCAGGTGTCAAAAGGAGGCAGCTGCCTGCCACAGCCTGCCTGAAAGCAGTCTCATTGGTGGAGATGTCCACCCCAAGTTGCCATTTAGCAATTGCATTTATTTAGCAAAGGCATTTATTTGTATAAAACAAATCCCCAGTGGACACCAGCCTCTTGGCCCCAGAGTCACAACGGCTAGTTGGTGTGTCCTATTGGCCAAAAGGAATGCAAAAGCAAGGGTGATAGTGGAGGGGCTTGTTTGCCATGTGCTGGTCACTTACCAGACAGGCTCTACTCCAAAGGAGGGCTTCACACAGATTGCTTCTTCCCAATGCCTGAGGGGAAACTGAGCCACAGATGCAACATGCCCTGCAAGCAGGTGGCAGGGCAAGGATGGGTCCAGAATGAGCAAGCAGGCTCAGGCCACAGTTCCAATCAGGAGGGGAATCATCCATTTGCAGAGAGGGGCCAAGGCCCAGGGAGGGCTTCATGGTGCTGGGACAGGTATTCTCTGCTCACCTGTTCCATGCAGGTGTTCTGACCTGGCTGGGAGTTCTTACCGGGCGTGCTGGCATACTGGCCTGATCTCACAGGGTCCCTGAGTCTGCCACAGGTTGGGGACAAGATGCAGAGGTAGTCAAAGGGCGATGCCCTGCCCAAGGTCACAGTGGGAAGGTCAGGCCTGGACTGGATACCAATGCCCAGCTCCGGAGCCCCTGGGGTCCCCATAGCCAAAGCCCAGGAGAGTGGTGTGGGCTCAGACCTGGCATGGAGGTGTCCGGAACCCATCAGAGGACATCCCACCCACCATGTCCTGCCCTGGGCATCCCACAGCATCCCACCAACTGCCATGTGCATGAAATCACTACCCTCTCGGTGGTAGCATTTTCAGGTGACAGCAAGAGACACTGATTCTTAAAAGTCCTGATGCTCAGTTTCTAAGTAAAAGGCATTTATTTGCATAAAACAAAAAGTACCTAAATGTTTTCGGGTGCCGTAACTTTCCATGTGGGACTCATTTGCTAAGCTTAGGGACCTCCAGGAAGAGGATCCCAGAACTGGGGCCCAAGGGCAGCAGCAGTCACACCCACTTCTTTTTTTGTTGTTAATTTTATTTTATTGATCTTTTAGAGAGAGGGAGAGAGATGGTTAGAAACATCAGTAAGAGAGAAACATCAATCTACACATCTACTGGGGATGTGCCTGAAACCAAGGTATATGCACTTGACCGGAATCAAATCTGGGACCTTTCAGTCTGCAGGCCGACACTGTCCACTGAGCAAAACCAGTCAAGGCTCATACCCACTTCTTTTATATATATTATTGATTTTCCACAGAGAGGAAGGGAGAGGAATAGAGAGCTAGAAATGTCGATGAGAAACATCGACCAGCTGCCTCCTGCACACCCCCCACCAGGGATGTGCCCGCAACCAATGTACATGTGACTGCAATCGAACCTGGGACCCTCCAGTCTGCAGGCTGACGCTCTATCCACTGAGCCACACCGGTTTCGGCTCACACCCACTTCTTCAGGCAAAAAGGGCCACGTTCCTGCCCTGCTCACCAGCCAGCCATGGGTCTGCACCACAACCCCATGTATAACCAAGAGCTGGGCCACAGAGCGGGGCTGCAGGCCGATGCCCGGCCAGCCGTTGCCAGACACAGGCTGCACTGGGACAGGGGACACGTGTTTCCTCTGCTTAGCTCGGCTCCGGAAATCAGGCCACCCCCTCCGAAGCCCAGCGGACAGCAGCCTTGAGCCTAATCCAGAGCTCTTTCCTTCCGGATACTGGGGGCCCAAGTGGGAGGAGCCCGTGCTGGTGCAGCCCCATGCACCCTGTGGTTTTTACGAAAGCACCCAGCAGCCTGCTAAAATGGGGATAGAGGGGATGAGGAGAGAACACAGGTCTGTGTGTGAATTCCCTGTCACTGGCTGCCTATGTGACCTTGGATGTTACTTGATCTCTCTGGACCTCAGTTTCCTGGAGAACCCAGCTCCCGAGCTCTGAGAGGTGTCACTAGCACAGCATTTGACAAGAAATAGGCCCACAGCCTGGTCCAGCCATCCTACCAGGTAGTCTCTTGGGCTTTCCCGCATGTGCCCCATGGAGAACCCCTAGCTGGGCTCTTCCCCTGCTCTGTCCTTGCTGACCCCTCCTTTCTGCCCCCCAGAGCCCGGCCCTGACCCTGCTGCTGGAGGACGAAGCCTGCTGGCTGAGGACACTGCCCCTGGCCCTGACGGAGGCTGAGGCCAATGTGGAGATCCACAGGAAGGGTTGGTATCTGGCGCCTCCCTCTCTGCCTTCCGGAAGGTGGAAGTCCTCTCCCAGGCCCGGCTCTTAAAGGGAAATCAGCCTGCTCTGAGCCGGGCCAAGGGACTGGCCACCACACCCCTAGCACCAATTCATACCCATCAGGGGTCGCACAGATGTCTGTGTGATGGGGGAGCAGGGTCTCAGGAAGCCAGGACGCTTTCAGGACCTCGGGGATACCTCCAGGGCAACGGAAGAGCCCAGGCCAGGGAGGCCAGGACCCAGCAACAGGTGCCAACTGGACCTGCCTGTGCATTTTGGCCACTCCTGCCTCCCTGCACCTTCTAGAGGGAGGGTCCCTGGAGCCAGAGCCTGGGTGGGGAGGAGGGAGAACAAGATGGGGGTCCTTGTCCCCCTCACCTTCTCAATTCAGAGTTCAAGCCAAGCATATGCAGGGGCTACCATCTCCATCACCACAGCCCTGCCTGCCCCAATTGGTCTTATTCCTGAGGGAAGTGTGGCCTGGCTTCCAGTGTGTGAGGGTCAGGGTGGTGTGGACCCTGCCCCCCACCCCATTGCAGACAAGGCTCAGGTCCCAGGGGAGAATGTGGAGACATACTCATGACTTCTACAGACAGCAAAGGCTGTTTGCCACGTGACCAGCCAGGAGGGCTGTGCATCTACTGACTACAGGAAACATACCTCATTCCCTGTTTTGCTAAAATGTTCTGGGGGTTGTCACCCTCACCACCACCTCCTGAGCACACAGCACATTTGGCTAACACCCAGTGGAGGCAGAGCTCCATCCTGAGGGTGGCTTTGATTTCCAGACAGAGCCAAAGGCCATTGGAGATAAGGAACAGTCCTGTGACCAGCTCCTCAGCCCAGCCCCTACCCACCTGGGGGCTGCCAGGGCCTGGCAGGGGTACAGAACGAATGCTGGGCTCAGCATTTGGGGACCTGAGCTTTCCACCCTGCCCTGCAGTCAACCATACACCTGGTCCCAACACTTCACCTGTTTCCCCATCCACAGGGGGGAGAGAACCCTGGCCCCTCCTCCCCACCAAGGAGTACTCTTAAGGACCCAGAAAGCAGCTAGAGGAGAGAGCTGGGTCTTGGTAGTAAGTAGTCAGCATTGAGACTATACACCCAGCCAGGACGTGGGTCAGTTAGCACTGCTTGGCCCACCCTTCTTAGCCTGGTCAGCAGGAATCCGGCCACCTGTGTCTGTCCAGGCAGGACAAGGGTCCTTGTAGCTAGTAGCCTTGTGCTGGGCACTGGGGGTAGATTATCAGGCAGCTCGCCAGGGTCCTGTTGGATAAGACTGCCCCCTGCAGGGCACCTTGAGAACAGTGCACCAGCAGAGTTGAATGGAGCAGGCTTGCCAGTCCAGAGCCTGGCCCAGTGGCTACCAGGCGCTCTGCCACCTGTCCTACATGCCACCCCTCTCCTGGAAAATAGACAAGCTCTGCTGGCACCCTCAAGTTCCACTCAGTGGGCTCAGAGAAGGGCAAGAAAGCCCAAGGAAGGCTTGGGTAGGCCTGGGGGACCACCCATCTGCCCCACAGGTGCAACTTGTGGAAACCAACCAACCACAGCTGTGCACCAGGCCTGGTCACTCCCTAATTGTGGCCTTGGCTCCATACCCCATCCTGGGCTTCAAAACTCTGGTCTCTAAGATGAGGGGCTCGGGAAGATAAGAGGGGAGTCTTTGCAGAGGTGGGCCTGGAGCTGCTGGTCCTCCCATCACTGTGCCCTTACCCCTGCAGATGGAGCCCTCTGGTGCAGGCTCACCAAGCCGGTGCCAGCAGGGGGACTGCTGAGCGTGCTCCTCACAGCCGAGCCTCACAGCACCCCTAACCACCCTGTGAAGAAGGAGCCTGCAGAGCCTGAGTGCCTGGCTCCCTCACACACTGACATCCAGCTCCTGCCCCAGCAAGCCGGCATGGCATCCATCCTGGCCACAGCAGTCATCAACAGTGAGTACCACCCTCGGGCCACCCCAGGTGCATGGGAGGACCAGCACAGTCCCCAGGCGCAGGACTGCAGGTGGTACTGAGGAGCTCAAGATCTACAAGATCTGTGACCACTGGCTCTGAGCAGAGGAGGAAGTGTGCTGCAGTAGACATGCACGGGGAGCTTGAAAGAGGTTCCAGGAGGGAGAGGGGCTCCAGGCTGCAGCCAGCTCATGAGAACAAGGTTGGCTCACGAATAGTGACCGGGCAGCCCTGAGCAGGCTGCAGGGAGACGGGGCAGCAGTGTGCACTTAGCCAGGGCAGAGGCAGCAGGGTCCTCAGGGCCCAGGTCACACGCTGAGAAGGGCCCAGGAAACAAGCCCAAACCTGAGCCCATGCCTCCCTCTTTGGAGCAGAGCAGGTTTCTGTTTCTCAGCCTCTGCTGGCATATGGGTCACCCCTGGCCCTGCCCACTAAACCCTGGTACTGCCCCCACTTCTCAGCACACACTAAGCCTCAGAGAGTTGTTGTGAGAATTAAGTAGGTTTCACACATTCAGCAAATACTTGTTTAATATCCACACTGAGCCAAGCAGTGGAGGCACCAGCATCACCGAGGTAGGATTCTGGCCAGCCCTGAAAGGACCCATACACCAGAGAGGTGGCCTTACTTGGAGGTGGTGGCAGCGGTAGAGGGTTCATCCCAGGAAGGAAAGCAATGACATGGTCAGACAGTAGCAGGGCTACTTTATTGGGGTGCCTGGGAAAGTTGCTCAGACATGAGAACAGTTAGCTTTGGACCTGCATGCCAGGGAAGAGCAGCTGAGCGGTCCCCCACCAAGGCCCAGGAGGTGGTCACTGTGGTTGGAGCCTAGCAGTGCACCAAGCGCAAATTGGGCAAATCTCTGAGGGTAGTTCCAGGCAAGAATGGGATTTTTCTCTGAACAATGAGAGGTCACTAGAGGCTTTAACCAGCAAAGGGTGTGATCCAATCTGGTTTTAAAATCACCCTGGCTGCTGGGTGGTAACTGTGGGGTTGCAAAATTGTAAGAGGAAGCTTTTGAGCAAGTCAAAGGTCATTTGATGCAAGTGGATGCAGCTAAGGTATAGCCTGATGGGACACTGGAGCCCACAGTTGGGTGGGTGAGGAGATGGCGGCGGCAGCAATCAAGAGGCCAGGAACTTCTTCGATGTGGCTGGCTAGGTGGATGTGGGTCTGTACCACTGCTGGCAGGGGAGTCAGTGAGGAGAGCTCTGCTGAGCATCCTGACCCCTAGGTGGCTGGGAAACATGTGGTGGGGCTCAGGGCACAGTCAGAGCTCTCCCTGGGGAGCCCTGGGGCAGGAGGAGACTCCCAGGGAGAGACAGGGCCTGTGGACACTAGAGTTGGAGGGAGAGTGTCTGCTGTGTCCCAGTTTAGTTTTTGTGTGTGTGTGTTGTTGTTTTTTTAATTATTGATTTCAAGAGAGAGGAAGAGGGAGAGAGAATAGATTTATTGTTCCACTTATTTATGCATTCATTGGTTAACTTTTGTGTGTCCACTGACCAGGGACTGAACCCACAACACTGGCTTATGGCTCTAACCAACTGAGCTGGCCAGGGCCCCAGTTTAATTCTTGAGACTCCACCACTCTGGGAAGTTTCCTCACCTAATAAGTGGGAATAACGGCAATACCAGCCTGGAGGTGTTTGTGTAAGTTACTTGGGCTGTGCCCACCAGGACTATACCATTGGTCAGCCACTGTGGTCAGCCCTGGGTTGCTGTGGCTGTGGCTTAAACTGGCTTCCAACACTCTGACCCCCCTCTTGACTCTGAGGCCAGCAGCACAGTCTCCAGCACTGACCTTGCAAATACATTTTTAAACACTGGTGGCCTCAGGTTCCCATCTCAGTTCAAAGCCTCAGCTGATACAGAACAGAGCTGCCTTGGCCCCCAAATAAAAGGGAACTTGAAAAGCAGAGTAAACACAGTAGGAAGGGAACAACCAGAAAACTGCAGGTAGGGGGCACAAGGGTGACCACCTCATCCAGACAGATACTAAATTCCTCAAGAGAAGTGGGAAAATGAGAAACCTGGCAGCCTCCTGGGTGGAGGAGGAGCCCCTGTGCAATAGTTATGGGCCCAGGACAAACATCAGAGAAGCCAGGCTGAGAAACACATCCTAACCTGCAGAAGCAGAAACCAGGTGATAAGGAAGCCCAGGACCCTCATCCCTCCTCTAAATCAAGGTGCAGAACAAGCCCTCTCCTGACCATCTTCAGCCAAGAGGCAGCTGGCCACAGCAGGGGCAGACAAACAGAACATTCCTTTAAATTCCTCTATAAAAACACACTGAGAACCAGAGAACGGGTGAAGCATCCATCAGAGAAATCTTCACCTGCTGGAAAAATCATCCCTGCAACCCAAACTCTTATAAACTGAAAAATCAGAGGCAGCTTATTTGTGGTAAATTTGGTGGATTCAACTGTGACCATTCAGTCAGTAACGGATGTGGACTCATCCACCTGTGTGTGTGTGTGTGTGTGGGGGTGTAACACAGGGACAGAAAGGGCTCCTCTTTCTTGCAGCTTCTGGCTTCACTGCCCACCCTTACCCCAGAAACCACCCAGAACCATATTCAACTCTCATCCTGGTGCCTCAGTGCAGGGGATTCGTGCACCTGGTCCCTATGTGCCTGGCCACACACACACCTGTTCACATGCACACACCTGTTTCATCCTCCACCAGCACCAGGGTCCACACCATCCCTCACAGCCCCTACCAGCACAAATGCACCTGCACACACTTGCCCTCCTTCCTCACCTGTACATGGTCACCCCCACTGAATAACTGACACAACCACATCCTGGACCCTAGTCTCACTCCTACAGGTGTCCACTAGCATGCCCATGCTCCTCCCATGAACACCCATGAAGCCACAGCATCTCATTATGGGGCTCACTGTTGGAACGCAGCCTGGAAACCCATAGAGAGAGCACCCAGGTTATAAAAGGACAGATAAGAAAGGGCAGCAGTGATGGGAGGAGGAAGACCAGGTCACAAACCAACTGCTTAAAGCAGAAAGACGGCAGAGCCCTCACTTTGCGGAGTCCACTGCCTGGCCCTGGGTTCCAGGCTGCCCCTCTTGCTTCCGGAATGTCCCCTCAGGCTTCACCCACCTCTTGCCCCACAGAAGATGTCTTCCCCTGCAAGGACTGCGGCATCTGGTACCGCAGCGAGCGGAACCTGCAAGCTCACCTCCTGTACTACTGTGCCAGCCGCCAGAGTGCCGGCTCCCCTGCCGCAGCCGCCGCTGACGAGAAGCCCAAGGAGCCATACCCCAACGAGCGTGTCTGCCCCTTCCCTCAGTGCCGCAAAAGCTGCCCCAGTGCCAGCTCCCTGGAGATCCATATGCGCAGCCACAGCGGTGAGGCTCCACGCCCCCCCCCAGAACCCCCGTGTTCCCACTGCGCCCAGGCGACAGAGGCGCCTGTGTGGGCCTCCCACCATACCACTTAGCCTCCCAGCTCCCGGGGCATGAAGCCCATCTGTGGCTGGCTGGTCAGCTCAGGGCTGGGCCCTGGCCGGGGTCCTGGGAGGCTTGAAGAGCCCTCCACACACAGCCCAAGTCACGGCCCCTCACGGCCCTGTGTTCCAGGCGAGCGCCCCTTCGTGTGTCTCATCTGCCTGTCGGCCTTCACCACCAAGGCCAACTGCGAGCGGCACCTCAAGGTGCACACAGACACACAGAGCGGTAAGCAGGCTGGGAAGGGGGCAGGAAGCAGGTCAGGGGGAGTCTGTGGAATCTGTTGGCTCCAGGGCCCTGACACCACAGACCATCTGCAGGTGTCTGCCACAGCTGTGGCTTCATCTCCACCACAAGGGACATCCTCTACAGCCACCTAGTAACCAACCACATGGTCTGCCAGCCAGGCTCCAAGGCTGAGATCTACTCACCAGGGGTCGGGCACCCCTCAGCCAAGCTCCCACCAGGTGAGGCTCGGGGGCCCCCTCTGAGGGCTGGGGAGAGGGCTAGCCCATGAGACAGAGCCAGAGGTCAATTCGGTCTTGGCCCCTGACCACCTCTGCCCAGCCCAGCTCTCCCTTCCCACCCTGCCCCTTCCTCAGGTCTGGCCCAGGCAGGTCCTGCTCCAGCCCTGAAGTGTGGCCTTTGGGGTCTCCCTGCAGACAGTCTACCCGGCTTCCAGCAGCTCACAGCCCTCCACGGCTCCCTGGCCTCCTCCGACCTGGGCCTTGGGTCCACCTCATCACCAGGACTGGACAGGAAAGCCCTGGACGAGGCCACCAATGGAGAGGCCAGAACAGCCCCCCAGAACGGTGGCAGCAGCGAGCCCCCAACAGCGCCCAGGAGCATCAAGGTGGAGGCGGCCGAGGAGCCAGAGGAGGAGCCAGGGCCCCCAGCCCTTTCGTCGCGGACGCCCTCACCACCCAGCTCCGCTCCCGTCCGGGTCAAGGCTGAGCTGCCCAGCCCCACACCCGGCTCCAGCCCAGGCCCCGGTGCGCTCTTCCTGCCACAGTTCCCCGCCGCGCCCCCAGCCTCGGAGATCCTGGCCAAGATGTCCGAGCTGGTGCACAGCAGGCTGCAGGTGGGGGTGGGCGCGGGGGCGCCAGCCGGCCTGCTCGCGGGGACCCCCAAAGGCGCTACCTGCTTTGAGTGCGACATCACCTTCAACAACGTCAGCAACTTCTACGTGCACAAGCGCCTCTACTGCTCTGGCCGCCGCGCGCCCGACGACGTGCTGCCCCCCGCCCGCAGGCCCAAGGCGCCCCCCACCCCGGTGCGCGCGGCCCCCGCCCCGCCGCCTGCTGAGCCGGACAAGCCAAGTTCGTCGCCAGGCCCCGGGGCACGCGAGGACCTGGCCGGGGGCGCGACCACGCCCGAGGCAGAGACCGGCGGCGGCGGCCGGGGCAGTGAGGGCAGCCCAAGCCCGGGCAGCGGGGCGGACGAGGACGACGACCCCCGACGGACGCTGTGCGAGGCCTGCAACATTCGCTTCAGCCGCCACGAGACCTACATGGTGCACAAGCGCTATTACTGCGCCTCGCGCCACGACCCGCCTCCGCGACGGCCCGCTCCCGCCGCGCCCCCAGGAAACCCCGGAATCCCCGCGCCGGCGCTGCCACCCGTACGCACGCGCAGGCGCCGGAAGCTCTACGAGCTGCAGGCGGCCAGCCCCGCCCCTGCAGCGCCGGGCCCCGCCCAGCCCTCGGCCGCCCCGGCTCCAGAGACTTCCGCTTCGCCGTCGCCGCGGCCCGGAAGCGGAAGCGGGCCGGACTTATCGGAGGGCCCCATCGACCTGAGCAAAAAGCCGCGGCGCCAGACCTCCGCCGCTCCCGTGCCCGGCCCCGCGCCGGTGCTGCCTGCCCTGGCCGACTACCATGAGTGCACGGCCTGCCGCGTGAGCTTCCACAGCCTCGAGGCCTACCTGGCGCACAAGAAGTTCTCGTGCCCCGCCGCGCCGCGGCGCCCGCGCGCCCCCGAGGATCCCGCCGTCGTGTGCCCCTACTGCCCCCCGAACGGCCTGGTTCATGGGGACCTAGTCGAGCACTTGCGCCTGGCGCACGGCCTGCTGCTGGGCAAGCCCCTGACTGGCCCGGGCCCCGGCGCAGAGGCCCGGACGCCCTCCCCCGCTGCCCCCCGCGATGGCCTTAACGGCCAGGAGCCACCCACCGGCCCTGCAGACGGCAGTCCCCGGCCCGGCCCGCCCTCAGCCCCACCGACGCCTCCTTCCCACTCGGACAAAGGCGTCCAGACCCCCAGCAAGGGGACGCCGACCTCCCTGCCCAACGGCAACCACAGGTACTGCCGCCTGTGCAACATCAAGTTCAGCAGCCTGTCCACCTTCATCGCCCACAAGAAGTATTACTGTTCCTCGCATGCCGCCGAGCACGTGAAGTGACCGGTGGCCACACTACAAACTGGAAATCGCTTCTCACGCCCGCTGCTCCCCAGGAGCCAGGGCCTGCCAGCCTGCCGTGCATAAAGACGGAATCATCCCCAGGTCCCAGGCTGCTCCGGCTCCTGGGAAACGCACCAAGCACAGGCCTCAGCAGAGGGAACTGCAGTGGCAGCACCCGCCTGGATCCTTGGCACTTAATAAAGAAGTTCAGTTGATTAGCAGCCTAATTCTCTAAGCAGAGGGCCCTGCAGGGTGGGGTCCACACTGACCAGCATTTTAGGCACTGTTATCCAAGCACCTAGAGGCCCACCACCACCACGTCCAGCCTGCACACAGGCCACTGCAGTCTGGAGTGACCAGGCCCCCTGCCAGAAACATGTTAATGGTCCTAAGAGCTGGACCAAGCTCCAGGTCAGTCTGATGCAACCACACATACAGAATTGCTGCCCTGCCAGCTCTGTACTCACTTGGGGCACAGGAATTACTGGAACTGATAGGCCCACTGCTGGCCCATCCCCTCCCCCACAGGATCTAACCAGAAGCTCTGTTTTGAACACCAGACACACACAAAAAAGGGGAGCCTTAATTCTACCCAGCTGATAGTCTTCCCACCCTGCTTGGTTCCAGGGACCTGGGTGTCAGCCATCTAGTCACAGGCCACCAAGGTTCGAGGGATGGGAGCATCTTGGGGAGCATGAGGCCCTGTTGTTAGCAACGCTGGTGGGAGAGATGGGGCAGTGAATAGTCACCAAAGAAGAAGGTGGACAGGGGAGAGGACACCATGACCCCTGGGACCAGGCGGACCAAATCCTGAACTAGGTGTATGTAGCATGGCACCTGTGGTGGCTGTAGGGGGGATAAGGAACAGGGGTACCCCGCCTCAGTCTGTTCTGGTTCATTGGGGGTTGCTTGTGCCATGGCTGGACTGGACAGTGTTAGCCAACCCAAGCAGAGTCTAGCCATGCCCTTGCCATTTGGCATCAGGGTAACTGAGCCACCTTCCAGCCTGGTGTCCCTGCTAGATAACACACCATCGGCCTTTCCCAACTTTGCTTGAAGTAACAAACACAGTTTCACTAAGCAGTCTACAGTGGATAAATGTGAACTCTGACCTTTGACCTTTCTCCATCTTCTTGCCATCCACCCACCCAGATTCACTCTCGAGGCTCAAGGCAAATTTCCCTCCCACCTAGCCCCACAGAAATGACAGGCTAGCGTAACAAGCCTGTATTTGGACAAGAACAGTCTCCATGGCATCATCCACAGGCAAGAGCCAAACACACACCTCCTGCTTGCTCCGAGCTGGTCCTGTGTACCAAGGCTTGACCAGACAGGATTACTTGGCCAAGGCCACCAGACAGTTAGGATTCCCATGCTGTTAGGGGCCTGGGCTCCAGGAAAGGGTTGGGGGAGTGTCCCATGGGAGCCCAGCTGTCTTTCTAACAGAGGCCTGTCCTCTAAAAAACCAACCTGGCCTCAGCCCTCCTGGGTTGTGGTGGGAGAGGCACACAGACTCTCGGCTCTGCTCCTCCTTTGCATTGTTCTGCATTCATTTGCAAGGAACATTCAGGAAACTCTGCCTCTGAGCTAGACCACTGAATGAAGGGGGACACTCTGATGTCCTCACACTGTTCTCAAAAAATTAAACCTAACAGTGAATTTTGCTGTGTATATATTTTTAAATTAAAAAAAATTTTTTTAAGATGCTGGGGAACACAGGGATATGGCTTAGATGCTCAACGGGGGCGGGGGGGGATGCAACACAGTGTCATCAGATGGGGGAGACCATTGTCCAGCTTCTTTACCCCTCTTCAAGAGCCACACCCCCACCTTACATAAAGTGGCCACAGGAGGACAGATGTGAATGGAAGACAGTGCCATACAGAAAATAGCCTGTTTCCATACCTGCAAATGTGCTTGGGGATGTGATCAATGGTTGTGCATTCCCTGCTGTGAGCTCAGTTCAGCAGGCAGAGCCAACCCTGACCCCTGACCCAGACATGAACTGCTGGCCTTGTCACCAGAGCAGTCCTGGGCTCTGTAGCCTACTGCCCTCACCCAGGCCTGGAGAGGTGGCTCAGCCTGGAGGTTCTAGGGCAGCACCACAACTCATTAAGGGCCCTACAACTGGGTCCTTCGCCCCCTAGCTATCTGCCTTCCGCCCCTCAGGGTAGAGCTAAATACCCCCCTGCCCCTTCCTTCTCAGACCCTGGGTTTCCCACACCACAGACTCCATCAGCAGACCCCGTCTCCTCAAGCCTCCCACCCAGCAACTGCACCACCTACACCAAAACCTGCCTTCACTACCACCACCTGCTGCAGCCACTGTCCCAGGGTCTTGTGATGGCACTAAATGACCAGTCCACACCCAGATCATTGCCATCCACCGCGCTGCTCAGCCACATACCCCGGGACAGCCTAGCTCCAGGAATCGCTGCAGGTGAACATTCCTGGCACCAGGGGTCAGCAGCAACTCATTTATGTGGGCCAGCAAGCCAGGGTCAAAGTCTGCTTTCCTAGCACGCTGCAGACTGGCCAAACCTTCAGGTCCTTTGTCTCCTGAGGACACAGAAGAAGTGAATGGGAGGGGGCACTGAGGGAAGGAAGGTGGCCCATCACACCCAGGAGGGGCCTCAGGAGGGCAGGGAGATCGATGACCTTACAGAGCTTGGAAAAGAGTCAATTTCCACAGAAAGGGAAGGAGCAGCAAAGACCAGCCAGGGCAAGAGGGGCCCAGGTTGGGATCAGCCTAGGATGAAGGGAACATAGAGAAGCTAGGGGGCTCCCCAGGCAGAGTCCCAGCAGGTGTCCACTGGTAATCAAACTGCTTCCACAACACCCGAGGTAAGGCCTGTCCTGTCACTGTTCTTATGGGAGGGGCAGCAGGCTCAGGGGGGTGCAACTTGCTGCAACAGCCCCCGCCCCCTGAAGACTGCTGGGAGCACTGAAGCAAAGTGCACACCTGGTCCAGACTGCCTCGCACATGGCCACCACCTGGCTGCAACCGGGATCTCCTCTGTGCCAGGGCCCCAGCCTGGCTCAGAGACCTGCCCTCCCCAGGGTTCTCAATGGTGACAGCTTGGGATAGCAGGGTTTGCCTGCATGTCTTTCCTGCCTTGTCAAATCAGGCCCCTTTGTCTAACAGCCACCTCACTGATAGGGACAACTTAGGAGAAAGGTTCTCTGAAATGCAGTTGGTCGCAGGTCCCCAAGAGCGCTCTTCTCCCAGATGGCTGCATATGCATCACCTGAACTGGTGAGGAATCCACATTCTAGTGCTCCCATGGGGGCTGAAACAGGCCGGGCCCGAGCACCTGTGTTTAATCAGCTCCCAGCAGATTCTTCACTAACAGGTTGGAGAAATACCCACACAAGAGGAGCACAGACTCTTGGCATCTTTCTAGCGGGTACAGATGGAGGGAAGGGAGGTTCCCCTGCTGAGGAATGCTTGTCAGCTGAGTCAGGGACAAGCAGGGAGGGGACTGGATCTTGTGACCTGGTCAGGATGACTAGATCACTGCTTCCCCTTCAGAGTATGTGGTTGACCACCCCCGTGTCCTGGACACTCGTCCTGATAGCTTTCTGCCCTTCATCCAAGACACAGACAAGCCTTGATGACACCAGTGCCCAGAACAGCCAGGGGTAACCAGCCCCAAACATGGAAAACACCCTGAATGTACTGGTATAGAGTGTTGCCGCCCTTCCCATCCCAGAACACAAACTCCAAAGGAAACGACCACAGTTCTCCTGGCCACGGAGCACCTCTCCTAAAAGCTGGTCTGAGGAGCCACAAATTTGTTTCCGCCCACTAATGTCCCACGGGGGATGTCCCATGGGGGATGCCCCAGGAGTATTAGACTTTGGGTGTGTTCCTGACCAAGTACTGATGACGCTGACTGTGGATTCAAACACAGGTAGCAAGGATATAAAAAGCTTCAAGGGATGGTGTGATTGGTGGAATAATGGCTCCAAAGCTGACCATGTCCTATGCCCCAAAACGTATGAATCTGTGTTCTTACACGGCACAGGGCAATTGAGAGTGCTAACCAGATGACCTTGAGACAGACAGGCGACTCCAGAGGAACAAGCACGTGCAAAGCCCAGCAGGGCCCTGGCAGACTGGCTGGCCACCTTTGGGGCACGAGAAGAAGCCAGCTGTACTTTCCACATCCATAGGTGGTGTGCATATCTGAACCTGAGAGCTAAGCTCAATCCGCTCCCCTAAGGGCTCCCTGAGGGAGAACAACTGGAAGAAAGATGTCTCAAATCCTGGGTGGACAGAGTTCAGTCTTAGCGCCCCATGGGGAGAGGGGCCTGAGCTCACCTTCCAGACCTTTGAGACCCACGTCAATGGGATGTAACCAGAGCTGCATCCAACCCTCATCCAACTCCATTCCTGGTCATTTCAAAGGTAACAGCCCTGCAGAGGCAGGGTAGGTGGATTGGGGAGGGAGGTAAGGGTGCTGAGAAGCAGAAAGGAGCTCCCCAGGATGCTCTGTGCTAGACCCAGAGCCCAGCTGGAGGTTTAGAGCTGCAGCCCCCCAAAGCGAGCCACACCCACGGGGCCTTGCCAACCAGCTGGGCACACACATCAATGTTTTTCTCTCCCCCCACCCCACTTCCACTCTCTCAGAAAAGCAATGGAAAAATGTCCTTGGGTGAGGATTAATAAAAAAAAGAAAAAACAACGTATCTCTTTCTGGCTTTAAACTTTTTAAAAGTAAAATATCAACATAAAAATGATACCTTAGGTTTATAACTTATGTAGAGGTGTAATTGTGTGTTTCACTATGCACAAATTACCTCAACATAAGGAGCAAATAGGCCCTCAGCAGGACACTACTGAACGTGAGGGACAAGGCCTGGGTGCCATAGCCCGAGGGGACTCAAAACTCCCCTTGGAGGGTCTGAGCCCTGCAAAGGTCTCCTGAGCAGCAGCCACATCATGTTTTACTTTCTTCCTGGGCACCTGCCTGTGTCTGTTTCCCATGGCTGCCTTATTTGGAAACAGGGTCTTTGCAGATAACCAGGTTAAGATGAGGTCACTCTGGATTTGGATGGGCCTGATCCAATCGCTGGTGTCACAAGAGAAGAGGACACAGGCACACACAGGAAGGACTAGGTGTGAGGACAGAGGCAGAGATTGGAATCACGCATGCACAAGCCAAGGAACATTAATGACTGTCGGTCACCATAAAAGCTGGAAGAGGCAG